ATCTGTGGTTTTGTGTTACCTCAAAGCACCAGGCCCAGGTCAAGTGATCACACACGTTTAACCCGGGCTGTGGAATCTGGCAGAAATCAGTCTTGGGCATCTGAAAGCAGGTCCAGGAAGCCAGGGAGCAGGAAATGCAATGGAATTAAAAATCACAAAGAACGAAAATACATGCACAGAACCCCCATGAAACGCGGCTCCTGTCCCACAATATAAACAGGAAGGTTTCCTTTGCAGACTGAAACAAACAGTGGGGAAGTTAATTACCGTGTCTGAGTTTTTTAGATTTTGTCTTAAAAACCCTGGGTGTTGATCGGGCAGTGGAGATGATACATTCCCCAGAGAAGGGAAGGATTATATTCTGACTAATAGGATGCTAACGAATCCAAGGTGTAAAACCCAACAGCATGCCCTGTCCTCATCCTTCTCTGTTGTAATCAGCTAGATGCTGGAAATAAGGAAACCACCCCACTCTGTCTTTACCTTTTATCAAATTGTCTTTTATAAATTGATGCAAATAATGGCACACACATCACAACTAGAGAATACAGCAACCCTATCCTCTAATTATAAAACTGCATTTTGAAAACAAGTAAATGTCAGGTAGGCCCTACACTAGAACCTGGTTCTCTGGACACACATTGAGTGATTAAGCTGGGTGGGTCTCAAATAGCCACTCTCAACCAGGCTGATTTTGCCTCTGCTCCCCCTCAGGGGCTGGACAATGCCTTGAGGCTGGGCGTTACTACCCAGGCCTTGTGGGGAAACAGCTTCTGGTGCAGAGGACCAGCTATTCATCCCGCCCCTCAACCAGGAATTATCTAAAAGGATCAGTTCCAGCCACATTCAGTCCCCAATCTCAGACATCTTAACAACAGATTTGTATTGGTTTGTTGAATTCAAAATCATTTCCCAATGAATGATGGTAAAATAAAACAACTCCATTACTATTATGTTGCTTTTCTTTTCTTTCTTTTTATATATATAAAAAAAGAAATAATGTTTATTAGGATATTCTGGGGTGAGAGGCCTACATATATTCCGTAGCAATTGAGTCTATGCTGACAGAAAACCCAAACATCACAAAACCACTTCCAAAGTCCAGGGAGCAAAACTCCAGGTCGATGTTGTTCTGTGGTGCTGGAAGTAAAGTTAATTTGCAAAATATCTGTGTGAGGAAGTCCGCAGGAGCGAGCCCTAGAGAATGTCCAGGTTCTTCAGGAAAGCAGAGACACATGGGATGATGAGATAAATGTGTTGTCGTCTAGAAATAGAAAAGTCAGGAAACATACAAAATAAATAGGCAGCAGAAGGGTGTCCCCTCTGGGTCTCCTCCTAACCAGATATGGCATTGTAGCACAGCTAGCCTCAATGAGCTCTGACCCAGCTGGGTGTCTGAACCCTCACCCCGGACAGAATTCTCTCATTATCCTAAAAACCATTGTCCTTATCTCTAGCCCATCAGTATTGCTATCCTGCATGAAATAGGAGCATCAGCTGAAACATACCCTGGGGTTAAGTGTAAAAAATGCAACACTACCCAAAACAGTAGGAAAAAAAAAATCCCACATCCTAAATCTCACACCTCTTCTCAGCAGGAGCTGGATTAAACAAGAGAAAATCATTTCAATATCAAGGGATAATGCACAGGAGATGAGAAACTCTTTAAAGCAAACTGTGTGGTGAAAAGTGTTTCTCCCCTTCCCTTGGGGAAGAAAGGGAGAAGACAAGAAAAGACAGATAATTAGAAGAACGAGAAGGCCCTGGGTTTTAGGCTTCTGAAACCATCTCCTCAACCCTCTGAGGACAATGAGCTATTTGAATCCAGAAAAGCACACCAGCAATGTCTTATTTCTTTAAGACCCAAATAAGGCAAGGCATTCTCTTTCCTCCCATGTTTCAGAAATGCCTGCAGCTAAAGCTAAAAAATGAAAACCATGTTCCAGATCAAGCACGCTTGCACGCCAGGAAGATAACGTGGAATCCTACAGCCCCGAGGCTGTGGTGACAGAGAGAAAGATGGCGCTGGAGATGACTCCAGGGGCGCCCCGCTTAGAAGGCCCAGAGCACCCTGCTGCAGGCGCGGCCAGCCCAGGTGACCCACACCGCCCTTCACCCCTCCAGCCCTCCAGCAGCCCTGCCTTTGCCGAGCTCAGACTCTGCTGCCTCCTCCTTTGCCCCTCCTCTAGTCTGCGGACCTCCCTTAGGCTTGGGAGGGGCCACTGTGGGTATCCAGAGCACTGCTCTTTCGACTGTGCCCTCGGGGGTCCTTGGAAAGTAGCTGTAAGAGCTGTTTCCCTTGCACCGGGCAACGGAAGGCTGGGGCGCCCCACAGCAGGCCTGCTGGCCAGGCTCATGGCCCGTGGTTCACAGAGTGACCCCTCAGGTTCTCCCTGGCTGGATGCTCAGGCTGAGGGTGGGAGCGCATGCCTGCTCCACAGAGGGGGCTGGTGGCCGTGCACAGGGGCTGGGACTTAGCGCCCAGAGACTGAGCCGAAAAAACAGTGTCACAGACTATTTATAAAGAGGACTGAGATTGGCTGAAGGATGTCAAGTCCAAGATTCGGACAATCTGAAAATGTGGTGTTTACCCAGGCTCCTGTCAGAGGCCATACTTCTCATGTTACTGGTGAGGGAACTTCAGCTCCGTGTGATGCTTCGTTCAGTGGGGGGCAATATTCTGCTGGAGTGGGTGCTGGAGTGGGTAGTCCTGAGTCTGCTCCCTGGGGTGCCAGCTGGGGCTGCCAGCCCTGGCAGAGAGGGCGGGGGGCCCATCCCTCCTGCCGCTCTCCTGCACGGGAAGTGATGGCGACCTCAGCAGACCCTGGCTGAATTCCCACAGCCCACCACACCGTGGGTGTTGTCTGTGGAGGGTGCAGGGAGGCTGTTGATCATGCCCAGCTCCTGCGGGCAAAGGCGAGTTTCGCTCTTTCTCAACAGAGACCACAGTGTGCAGGCTTACAGTTGCTCTCATTCTCATGCTTTCTTAGACCTTTTCTCCAGATCCCTCTCAGGAGCTCTGGGAGGCAGACAACGCAGTGCTGTGCAGACAGCTTGTCCTCACCACTGGACTATAGAAGGAAGCCCTTCGGTGTCCTCGCGTCTCTCACTGGCTCCGAGTTAAGTACCTACCGACCGTGGGTCACGCGTTCTGCTAGCAAAGGTTGGTGAGCGGCAGGGAGAAGCTGTTAAAATGAAAGAAGGGGCCAGAGTCTCTGGCCAGACTCTTGGCTCTTACTATGAAAACGAAAATGGGGTGTTAAGAAAGCCTGGCCTGGGCTGAAGAGAAGAAAATCAGAGAAAACCTTCCATTGATGCTGGTGCTGGTTGGCAGCTGCCCTTGAGCAAAAATAAACACCCCCTGGCAGTGGGACAAGATGCTGATATTGGCACCTGCCAGAGGCAGGCAGCCGAAGCCGCAGCTGCGCTGGTCAAATGAGCTGGAGCCCTCAGGGGGCTGAGACCTCGCGGCTGCTCGCAGGCTACGTGTGACTCTCTGCAGGCAGTGTATGGACCGCCTGGGCACCTTCCCCATCCCGCTGGGCTGGCGCTCAGAACAATCAGGAGTTGCAGGTGGCGCTCCTCAGGGCTGTCGCTGGAGGGAGCAGAGCTCATCAGCGTGCCCCAAGCAACAAAGGGATTCCTGGCCAGGATGTGGTGGACCAGGCAACCCTGAGGAGGAGCTCAGGGTAGGGGCCGGGAGGACGAACTCCCCACTTGGGGATTAACCTCATCCTCTTGCTACCTGGCTTCTGGTCTGCTTCCAAAAGCCGCTGTCAGGCAGAAACAAAGAGTCAGTATGGCAGGGCTAAATGTAGTGAAGAGGAAGAACTGATGAGAAGAGACCCTGACAGTGAAGCAGAAGGAGGAGGCGCTTGAGAAAGGAACCAGCCAACCTCTTAAAACAGCTTTGTGAAATGCGTGGCCCGTCCCACACAAGCCAGGCTGCAGGCAGTGGTGAAGCCCACAGACCGAAGCCCTCTGCAGTGAACTGGTGCTCCAGAGCCCCAGCACCCCACTTTCCAGCTAACAGACCAAAAACAAATGGTCACTGAGAACAAAAGCTTGAGAACACCTGGAAGTCAGTGATGCCAGCTACCACATGGCATCCCGTGCACAAGAGAAGCTTCTAAGGGTGCCTAACCGAATCCCCAGCTGTCTTATTGTTATAGAATTTCTCCAAAGAAATTCCTTGTTCTGTCATCCAGACTTTAGTTTGGCTGGCTTCCCACAAAGGCATACTCCTAGCGCAAGGAGCCCTGACTGTTTTGTTAGAACAAGATTCCTACGTGCACCAGCCAGGGACCGGGGCCAATTTCCAGGTTCTCTTGCTCTGATTTTGCTCCATTTCGCCAAACCCCCAGCTCTGTTTAGCCTGGCTCTTCTGCCTTCACCATGCCTGGTCCTTGCTAATCCATTCCTGTCTGTGGCTACTGCGTTTAGGTCGTTCTTGAAAATGGGTCTCACCTGGTCTCCATTGCTTTATCAAAGAGCAGAAGCAACAAAGATCACAGGTGATGAATCCCGAAGATCAAGAACAACGTAGAAAGAATTAGAAAACGAGAATTCATTTAAGCAGCCCTTTAAGTCATGTGTGAATAAGCCCCTGTGTGTGTCTGATGAGGTGAATGAAAACTTATTTTCCAAAAAAAAAAAAAAAAGAGCTCCTCCGAGGCCCCTGTTTTGTAAATAACAACAACAGAAATACATCTCTGCTGGATTCTAAAAAAGGAAGTTGCTAATTATATAAACTCCCACAGCTCCTTCAGCTCTTTTCCCAAGCACTTTACCCTAACTCAAAAATGCTTCCGCTCTCCCACTTTCCTTGTTCAGCAGATGGAAACTTTGGGAGGGACTGATTTTGAGTACCAAGAGGCAGGTGGGAAATGGGATGCAGCTGGAGACAACCCGCCCTGTAGTCTTCACATGATGGGGACAGTCTTAATATAGAGCAAACCGAAGCCACCACGGAGCTGGAGGGACGCTGGCCTACATTTGATGAATTCCAAGACACAGCTTCTTAGACTGTTTTTATTACAGGATAAAACAATTATTAAAAAAAAATGAACAGAAACCACACTCTTTCACACTTTGGATAAAGTTTGCTAGGCTTAAAGAAAAATAACCTATGTAATACACAATTTATAATTTTTTCTACCACTAGGAGGTTTAAAAAAATCAGATATGGAAAAATAGGTATTCTGGTGGCTCCTGAACTCCCTCTTTCTTGTGCTCGTCTTCCTCCCTGTGCTCCATGACAAAGACACTCAAGCACGTGGTCAAAGACAGTCAACGTTACAGTGGAATGAATGTGCTTCTGGTCCATCTGCGGTAGCGTCTTTGTTCTCTGACGTAAGTCGAGAATGTTCAATCCTGACCCAGGTGTCTTGGTCTACAGGATCGTAAGCTACTGTTTTGTCCAAACCAACTACCATGAGATGCTTTCTGTGAGAGGCTCAGGCCTTATCAGATGGTCCCTTTCATGTAGGGACCAAGGAAAGGAAGTAGTGAGTCTTTTGGAGCTGCAAGAGGAAATCAGATAGAAATTAAGAAATTTAAGTCACTTGCCTGCTCTGGAGAAGGGCAAGTGACGGTGTTTTGGGGACACCGTGTTGAACTGAGATCACAGCAAAGGGTGGAAACACTTGCCGGCTGGTTGGTAAGAATCTCTCAAGCACGCTGTCGCTAAACTTCTGTCCCGTTTATTTAATCAACGGTTTATTTTCAAATGGAGGATTTAGGAACTCTAATGTTTATGTTCCTATCTCTGAAGAAAAATGAGATCTTGTTGGTGATAGATGAGGCCTTGCATAATTTAATTTATGAGTTGCACATCTACGCATTCTTCAGCGAAGACTATCCTTGTTAGTGCTGATTACCACCCGCTTCCTCTCTGGTCATGTGAAGCTAATTAGCACTGCTGTTTACTGCAGAAGTAATCAATAGCTTTCTCCAGTAGATCACAGAGACTCAGAACCTATGCAATTAGCCCAATGTAGATACACAGAGATACCTTAATTAAAACTAAATATGCTCTGTAAGAGATATGCTTTCTCAGATGACTGTAATTCCAAACATTTCGACACATTTAATGTGTTTATTTGAAGTAAGAGTTTTTAGGAAATCTTTCACTAATCAAATTTGATCGGTGAACTTCCCTTGAAAACATTTTGAAGTGAAAAAAGTCGGTACTTAGTAGTATATATTTATGTTTATTAACATTTGGATATAAATGTACTTCAAACACCAATAGAGCTAAAAGATTATGCCTTTAGCCTGGATTGAATGGATTCCCCACCCTGTCATTTGATTAATTTTACAAGGCAAACACCAGCGGGGACGGCCACACTCCTCCTTCAGTCTCCACTGCCCTGGGAAGAAAGCTAACACTCCCAGCAGCCGGTGAAGATGGACTCTCCAGTCTATCCTCAGTCTGGGAGAAAGATGGCTGCTTGTACCCGGTGACTGTATGTTCTGAATCTTGCCATTGCAACCACACTTCAAAAGTGTACTTCAGGGTCTCCTCATTGAAGGATGAGACGATGGAAGATGATGCGCTGTGAATGAACAGCTGCCTTTAGCGGGTCTGTGCCAACCGGCACATCTCCACAGCCCTCAGGCTGACCCTCGTGATCCACAGCCTTCCTCCTTTCCCACATTTTTGGTCACAATCTGCCATGGAGGACACAGGAGATGCCAGCAGGTTGCCAATGCCCTTCAGCCCATACTGCCCTCAACAGTAGCCAAGTCCTCATAGCAGGGACTAGACAGTCCTTAGCTGTCCCCAAGCACGCGTCTGCTTCAGGAGAGGGGCAGCACGTCCCACCCCGTGTCCCAGCCAGAGCTGCCTCGTCAAGGAATATGGAGATCCAGGGCGGGATCACCACGTCAACTGGCCAGGTGCCTGTTGACATTTGGAAACAGTTGCACGTGGCCACCAGCTTCCACTTGGGCCTGCAGGCTTCCTTCCAGAACAACGGAGGACAATGCAGGGCAGCTCTGCTTCCTCCTGCCTGTCCACACGGACGTGGTGCAGTGCTCTCTGCGAAACTGTCTCCTTGGAGTCTGCCCGTGAAAAGCCATATCCGTGTCGCTAACATCGGAGCTGACGCTACTTAGGGGAGGCAAACAAGCTCTGCGTATTTTGTATTAAACCAGCAGTAAAAAATGAAGACGGTATCATTACTTTCAAAATATAGAAAGCCAATAGTTGCAATCATTTAGTAATAAAACTTTTTTTCTACATAGAATCGCATACGTGTAAAGTCAGCTGTCAAATGTGTTTAACGCTTGTTAGTTTCAAGCTTCTCGCTCAGGTAAGGCTGAGGGGCGTGGCGTTCAGGGGCCCGGGTACCCTGAGGTTCACGCTCACTCTCATGCTCTATTTTGGCTACAGACAGACACGCCGTTTGGATGGGACAGGTATTTTCTGCTTTGAAGGTCTATGCAGAAACTGCTGACGAACACACACCTGGGTGTGGAGAAGGCTCGTTCATCTAATACCGTGAAGGTGGGCACAAGCCTGTTGATCAAGATTCTCTGAAGGAGAATCCATCACTGTGTGACAAAAAAGCTTGACATCCGGGGGAGGCTGCAGTTACACCATCAGACACTGAAACTATGACACAAGCTACAGAAAATTCTTTAGAAACAATAACCCCTCTACGAGTAAAGGTCAGGGTTACAGGATTAAAATCATCATCATCATCTTCATGAAAAGCATGGCCCTCCCCTGCCTTACCGCCACACCTAAAGCTGCCCCTGTTGGCTCCAGCATGCCCCAAAGCCTTCTGAGTTTGGAATGTAGCACTGCACTGAGTATCCTGTAGAAGCCCTAAGGATCACAAGAAGCTTTCTTGGAAAAAAGAAAAATAAATGTTCCAGTTGGATGAAACTGTTTTAGCAGTGTCTCAACTGAGCTCCTAAAACTGGAATTTCAGATATACAAGAGGACAGGAAACAGATAACTTGGTTTTTGTCTTTTTACAGGTCCATATGATTTTTTCAGTGCGGCTACGATGTTTCTGCCAAAGATAAAGAGAAGGTGAACAGGGTGGTTGCCACCAGAACCAGCAGTGGGTTCAGACCACAGCTTGGAGGCGCAGCTGACGGTTGTATGGTTATGTGGCTGGAGGCACCGGCGAGACCATCCTTCTCATAATCGCGCTGCAAGAAAGAAGGTTTGTATCATCACCCGCTGCATGGATTCATGCACCCCACTATGTATTTTTGGGCTCTTGCCCCATGCCCCCAAACAGCCATTCCTCTCACCCAAGCCCACCCCTGATTTTACCATGAACACTTTATTTCACTGACTTGATATTTTATGGGAGGGATCGTGACCTTGGTAAGAACTAATTCTTCCTAGAGGGCCTTGATAAACTGGCTGGCTAGCCACACTGCAGCTCCTCCATCCTAGAGGATTGAAATCCACTTTGGGGGGACAAGAAAAGAGCTCAGGGATCCCTGTCATTCTCCATGATCACTCCAGCGCTGGGCTGACTGCATGGGGATGCTTGCTGTCCCTCCCCATCATCAAGGAGGGCCTGAAGAATCATCTTAGGAAACATGCCCAGGCACCCGTAGAGGTTACAGATGGTGGCCAGTTCTGTCCTAGATTTTTTTTTTTTTAATTTATTTAGTGGGCCCTCCCAGGTGGCACAGTAGGTTAAAAGCACAGCACTAAGAAGCTAAAGACACTTCAGCACCAGTTCGATCCCCGTGCCGGAGCTGACCCACATGGAGCGGCAGACCTCTCCTGACACTCCTGCTGCTCCCCTCAGCAGTGTACTTCATCAGTGGGCCTGTTCTGCTCCCCACTCTGTCTCTGGTGAATCCTCTCACCACCCCTACACCTCTGGCCTGTACACCAGCTCTGTATGCATAACTAAATAAATCTTAAAAAAATTTTTTTCTTTAGTTATGCATACAGAACTGGGATGCAGGCCAGAGGTGGTGAGAGGATTCACCAGAGACAGAGTGGTGAGGAGAGCAGGCTGAGGGGAGCAGCAGGCAAGTCAGAAGAGGTCTGCTGCACCATGTGGACCACCTCTGGGGCTGGGGATCGAACTCGCACTCTCTTGCAGTGCTGTGCTTTAACCCAATGAGCCACCAGGGAGGGCCTCAGTCCTAGATTTTACAGATGAAGGAGGCTGCCCTGCTTGTCAGTCAAAAAGCCCAAAACAAGCCCAGTCTTCCAGACTCTCAATCAGATAAGCTCCCAGGGTCAATCTCCCCAACCCCATCCCCAGCATCAGCTGGGTAGGAGACAGAATCACCCTCTCCTCTGTTATAAGTTGGGAAAGGAACACAGCCGGCTCTCGCAACCTCTGGGCTGCTGTGGAAGTCAAAGGAATTGTAGCTAGGGCCAGAGAACTCTGGTAAGCAGAGTGCTGTTCTGCTTCTCGGGGGCCTGGGGAAATTCATGCGGTTGACCTCAGGCCGTGGTCCTGGAACAGTGGCCTTTCTGCTGGGTCCAGCCCCAGGTAAGGATCCAGGCCCCACACTTAGTTTTTACCTTTGTTCCCTGACCTTGCTCAAAGAACAGAGGCACACAAGGGCACCTTACTCACTTTTCTGGACCGAAACCTTGTCTTTGAGCCCCTCACCTATATTCTGCTTGGGGGTGGAAGGTTACCTCTAGACACACATGGGGACCCAGAGAGATATGTCACTTACATCAGAAAGACAGAGGTGCGTGGTGCCCGACACATTGGATTTCAGCTTCTGCGCCTGGGGAGAAACACACACAATATGGAAGAGTAATTACCAGTGACCAGTTATCAGCTGTCCAGGGCAGGGCCAGTGACAGAGATACATCAGCCACCACCGAGAGCCCCATGTATAATTTAAAATTTTCTCGCGGTCATGCAATGGATGAACAGGTTAATTTTAATAACATATTTCATTTAACCCAGCAGATTACCATTTCAGCATGTGCTCAATATAAAATTAACCAATGAAATACTTCACATTCTTTCATTTGTGTGCAGTCTTCAAATTCTGGTATGATCCTCACCTACCCCCCTTGAAGACTTCATCACTGCCTGTGCCTCCAGGGTAGGAGGGACAGGAGAGGAATAGGTCACTAGATTAAAAAAAGTTTGAAGTCAATTATATTTTGAACTCATTTATATTTCTGAAATTTTTGAATAGTGGGAAAGTGTCGAGTGAGAGTTCCCATTTATTGGGAATGTGCCAATGGAGTTCAGTGTGTTCATTTACTTACTCACTGCTCCGATCAAGAAACACACGCACTGTGTACTGGCCACATGGTGATATGGCAGAAGGGAGGGAGCCCAGGGCCACGGGCTGGCCTCTTGTGAGTCAATGACGCTCTGCTGGGAGGCAGAGCTCAGGACAGAACTCTGTCAGACAGGACCCTCAGGGGCACAGTTCAGGGAAGACATCTAATACAGTAAACTGCTTCTGGAAAGTTCCAAGGAGGCTGGGCTACAATTTCCTCGCATCGGAAAGAGTCTGCACTGGGCTTTCCTTCATTGGAGGAAAGATCTCATTGCTCTAAAAATTTCTGTGAAAAACTGCTGATCCTGTCTATCCCTTGTTTGTTACAGGAAAATAATCCAAGCACAGAAAAGTAAAGTGACTGATCCAAGATCACACAGCAATTTACTTACAGACTCTGGATATAAACCAAGTCCTCAAATTCTTGAATGAAAATGTGCCTTCTTCTGCTGTACAGTTTATCTCAGGCAATCCTGGCATGCTGACGCTTCATGCTCTCCCTGTCCCCAAATCATGACAGCCCCCGCTCCTCCCCCAAAATTGGAGCCCTTTGGCACCAAAGGACAGGAAGACCCTGGCTGAGAACTCACACCCAAATGAAGATCTGAGCAGCCAGCTTAGTGAATGGCAGGCTGCCTTGCCCGGCACAGGAACTGCTGTAACTCACTGTCCATGTGTCGGGCTGAAATGACAGCATGTTCACCCAAGGAGTAATTTATTGACCATAATGCTACTTGGGAGGCATCATAATCTTTACCTATATTTGCATATGCCAGCTGTGAATATGAAATAGGAACCTTTAAAGAGGCATCAAGAATAAGACACTGTGAAGCATCCCGGAGCTGTTCAAAGGTCAGTAAATGTTATATATAAGAGGATCACAGAGGAGAGTGGAAGAGGAATTGAACCTTACTCAAATGCCTACTTTTAATCTATATTAATAGCAAATCTGGCCCTGGCATTGTTACGTACAAAGGATAATGTGTAGAACTTTACGTGTTTTATTTCTGTTCAAAACTGGAATTGTGCCCAGGCACCAAAATGGCCTCAAACCATCACATTCTGTCTTTTCTTTTCTAGGCCATAATCTATGAAAGACATAAACTCTGCCAAGGGCCTTTGTATCACTAGAATGTGTGGAGAAGGCAGTCTGACCTGTAGTTGGGAACACAGAATGATTTCAGGGTGTCTGTGCTTGTGATCCCAGAAAAGCTGCATCTGGGGCCCTCCCAGGGTCTCCTTCCTACTTTGCTCTGGGGGAGCAGTGCCAGCAAGCTGTGGTTTCCCCTGAGTACAAGCTTCCTGCACCACTCGCTAGTTACACTTCTCAGTCACTGCAAGAGCCAGGAAGCACTGGTACCCAACTGGCACCTCGCCCCTGCCCATTATCAGATGGCAATAAAGAGATTTCCAACAGCAGCCTGGAGAAGGTCTCCTTTCTTTTCTTTCTTTCTTTTTTTTTTAAAGGATGTGTTTATTTACTTATGCATACAGAACTGGGGTGCAAGCCAGAGGTGCAGGGGCGCTGAGAGGATTCACCAGAGTCAGAGTGGGGAGCAGAACAGGCAGACTGGCAAAGTACACTGCTGAGGGGAGCAGCAGGTGGGCCAGGAGGGGTCTGCTGTGCTGTGTGGGCCCCCTCTGGGGTGGGGATTGAACTCGCACTGAAGTGGCTACATTGCTTGCAGTGCTGCATCCTAACCTGTTGTGTCATCAGTGACTGCCTGGAAGTGGTTTCTTTCTGACAGGTTTCCTTAGAGGGCTCTGGATCTGCATGGTGGCCATATGATCCTCACTTGACACTGATTGTTTAACCATCACAAAGGTCTAGGTTAGGCGTACACCTTGCTCCCAAGAGGAGGGACCTTTGGCCCTTCCCCCCACCCCCCGGGAGAGCATGGGGTACTGTCCATCGCAGGAAAACAAGTTAGACCAGCTCCAAGTCTGGGAAATTGCTGGCCTCTTCTTTCCCCAAGATGGACATCTTGTTGGGCTCCATATAAAGGAAGCCTGAACTCCCTAACGCCCCAGTGGCCTCACTAAATCTGGAGGCAGTAGCCTCCAGCCCAGCTCACCCATTTTGGGGGGTGTATATGGATAAACTACCGAGTAAAAGTAATAACATGCAATCAGCTCCATCGGACACTCTAAGAAAGGGCCTCTCCAGTTAAATATCCTCCCAACACACAGAAACGTTAGGCCTTCCAGAGCTGAGCAGCCCAGCACACAGTTCTTTGAACACCGCCCTTACACAGTGTATTAACACAGCCGTCAGTTGAAAGGTCGAAGTGTCAGTGGAAACCCCAGAACGGCAGCGGCAGAGCAGAGGACCCCTGGGGTTCTGCCTGAGTCTCGTATGGACCATAGGAAGGTCTGGGAGTCTGATTAGAAGGTGAAGAGCCCGTGCTACTGGTAGTTGGAATGGCAGGTGGAACCTGGATGACAGAATGAAAGGCCTGCAGGTGGCTATGAGGGCTTAAAGGCGCCTCCGAAGCTGTGGTGTGTGCTTCAGAATGGAGGCCAGTGCGCCTGCTGTCCTGAAGGATGTCAGTCACAGGTGGATCACTGTCACGCAGGAGGACACTGCCACACAGGGCATTCAGGGCCTGCAAGGGTTCGTAAGCTGCAGATGGAGGGGCAGAGCCAGGGGGTGGGCCTGTGTGCGTCTAGCCAGCTGCATGCTGTTAAGGCTGAACGCAGTCCAGATTCATCTGCAGATTCCAGAGAAATCTACTCAAATAGGCTGCACCTAAGAAAATTTGGCTCTTCAGGCCCGTTTTAGAAGGCTGAGCAACCTGTTATTTTCACATTCTAAAGGCTTTTATCCTGAGCATTAAAAAAAAAAAATCAGCAAGCTATCACTGTCTTGCTAGTCAGGTCTGATAAATGCAAACAGATAAAAATACAATGCACCCCCACTTTTCAACTGTTGCAAAAATACTTACATACTTTAAAAGTCACCTGGGCTGATGCAAATGGAGTGGTCCCAGGAAATGAAAAACAAAAAACAAAAAACACCACACCCTATTTCTGAGACTTTGTAAGGTCTAAGAAAGTTCAAAACTGGGAGCACACCTCTCATTGTTGAGTTGTAAACCAGTAAAAGCAACGGTGTGATAATGGAGGCGCTGGCACAGTGCTGGGGCCTGCGGTGAACCCCTAGAACCCTACCTGTTGACTAGCTATTCAGGGACCCCACACAGAGCTTGGCCAGCCTGCACCTCTTTAGACACCAAAACTGACAGTTGTGGCTTTGAAAATACGATCTACTTTTTTTTTTTTTTAAGGGGATAAAGAAGAAAAGAGAACAAATTTCATTTTTTTTAAATTCAATTTTACCCATTGTTACAGCATGTTGAAAATGAATTATTTAATCTCGTTTATGAAAGAGTGTTTCCTAACAGCCGATTCAGAGTTGCGTGACTGTGTTAGGAAAAATAAGAACACCCAAACACAAGATTTTCATCTTGAGAAAGGGGAAATGAAAGGGATGAGGGAGAAACCTGTCCCACACTCGGTAGCCATGTTGTTATTCTAGAAAACCAGGGGGCTGCTCTTTAAGCACTCCATCAACCTTGCCCTCCAGTACAAAACTGTCATTGGCGGCAATCTGAAAGTCCAGGCACGTCGAGTAATAGAATTTCCAGGGGCCTCTGTAATTGTGGGGCCAGACCTCTCCAGTCCCTGGCACCAGAGGGTTAATAAATGCACTAGATGCTGTTAACCTCTGTTACCTGGAGTCAGCACGATGTCGCTCTTGCTTCCCCCCAAGCCCCACTGATTAACAGTCAGAAAGTCTACCCTGGCGCCAGGGGCTTGTTCTTTGCCTAATGCGCAGGCGCATGCAGGATTTACAGCTCTAAGTTGGGACGGGATCCACCACTGCGCATGCTTACTCAAGATGTGCCCACAGAAGGGTCCCACGGTGCCTGGGGACAGGTCAGATTTTGGAGCAGCACGTCTGCTTTTTATGGAAATGGACACTTCAAAGCGCACCCATTCGGGGCCTGGCCTTTTGCTGTCCCAGGACTCCACTTCTGTGCATAAGTCAGTGTTTAATCTCGGTTTTTTTGGCAGCTGTCAGCCAGCGGGGCATGGAACATTTCTCTACTCTCCTCCATGGGAAAGAACAGCCAGTTTCTGCTCTACCTCCAGAAAATTAAACTGGAATAAGTTGCCCAATCCAATAGCAACAGACTGTCCAGGCTGCAGCCAAATGGTCATAATTAATGATGCTTCTGGTTCTTTTCTCCCTTGCTTTACTGATTAGAGAGATTTGCTATATTAGGAACCTGTTTGCTTAATGACAGAATACAAGCAATAAACAGAGAAATACACAGACTGTAAAATGCAATCAACTTTGCTCTCCAGCATTCACTAAGTACCTACCTGCATCTATCACACTTGTCAATACCAGTTTATTAGCATATGAGTCTCTTCTGCAGCATAAATTGGACCATTGCTAGGGAAAACCACTGCATGTGTTC